AATCGCTTATGACAAAAAGAAAAGCAGATAAAATACACATATAAGAAAATAAATATATAAAATGAAAATAAAGAATTTTTCTCTATTCGATTTTTAATATTAATTTGGTTGATTAACAATTTCCATAATTTCAAATAGAATACCTTGATTAACACGTGGCATATATGCTACAGCTGCATCATCTGTATCTGTTGCTTCTTGTTTTGTTAAATCTTCACGTAATAATAAAATTTGTATAACCTGATTCGTACTTAATGTTGGATATTTTTTTGCTCATGTAGCTATTTCAAGCACAATTAAATCTAAGTCTGTTTGTTCAACTACATCAGCTATATTACTTAATATATTAAAATGATATTCAGTTGCATTATCAGCTGGGATTTAAATATAAACATGTTGAGCGATTGTAAAAATTTTATTGTCATATTCTCATGCTTATACTTTAATTATCAAAAGAAACGAGATTATCCAAAATTATGCTATTAGAAAGCCTGGCAGAAACACTCAAGGCTAAAATAAATATATTCTGCTAAGGATTATAGTTTATCTCTACATGAACTATTTATATATAAACTAATTTTGTTGTGCCGCAAGATTTATGGAATGTATTATGTAGAATTTTTTACGTTTTTATATATTAGCAATAACAAAATTATTAATTAGTAGTTCGTAGTTTTGAAAAGATCTATTAATTGCGTAAGATAAGAAAAATATTCATTTTCATCTTACAAAATAAAAATACTTTGAAACATGAAAGTTATATTCGATTTATCAGTGATACATTATGACATTTGTGAAATGACTCAAAGTCTCTTGAATTCAGTAGTACTCCTTGCAGTTTGATATCAAAATGGCAGCCTAAAAGAGTGCCTTCAATTGTTATGTGCTTTGTCTTAATTGGCAGACCAAAGCGAAATGCATTCATATAAGTTTTTTTTCTGTACTTTCATCATTTTTATTTAGGAGGCTAGAATGTTTCTATATTTGCAATATTTTACACAAGTTCATTGTTTCTTTCTTTATTGTTCAGTTCATATTCTCATTGTTGTGCCAGCATTCAATGTTGTTATTGGTATAATTGTATTATGTCGTCTTCGTAGACGGTACAGATGCTTCCCTATCCAAGAATGATGTCGGAATACTTCAAAATAGGCACGAGAAGGCACAATGAATAGGAAGAAAGTTGCTGCTTGTGGTATATGAATAATCAAAGCAAATGAAGTATTCAATCTTAAAAGCCATTTACTGTTGATATCGACACATGAGAATAATAATGTAAGTACCAATTGTGGTAAAATACATGCCTGAAAGGAACAGAATTTATTATAGTTAAAAACAAACAATAAATTACATACTATAGTTAATGTTGGTGAAATAAAGAGATGACCATGACGATGAAACTGTCTAATCCATTGTGACCAATATCTTGTTCTATGAATATTGGCTTTTCGACGGCTAATTGAAGCCAAAATTAAACAATTAGCCAACATATTAAGTGAAACAGGCATGAACACATGAATAAATGAGAATATTGTATTCAATATCAATAGTTCTTCTGAATATCTTATTTGACAAACAAATTTACCTGCGATCACTGGATCTGGTAATGTTCGTTTGGACATTAGCTCTGGCACATGCATTGAAGATACACAAATTGATATCATTATAACTAGTATGATTCCTGCTACCCGAGAACGAATTTTATTCCATAGAAAACCTAACTCAAGTGATTGAAGGGCTCGCTGTAATCCAATAAATCCATTCATCCAAAGACATATTCGTGTAAGTATCGATGATATAGGAGTGATCACATTGCATATAGAAAAAAATGATTCATGATTGAGAGAGTCTAATAATTGAATGAGACGAATCTCAAGTAAAAAAAGAACAGATATTGAACAACAACTGTAAAGAAGAAGATGAAATCCAACAGAGGTTGATCTTATTTGTGCTCGGTAAAATGTATCAGCAGATAATATATTCGATAGTAGAGCAAATACAACCATTATTGTCACAGAAAACACATATGCAAATGTCATCAATTGTTGCTGATCGACATTAGTTGTTCGAATATCTGTTTTCATACTTGATACAAGACCAATAAGAAATATATTGACTGAATTATTACAAATCATTTTTGATGCTAACTATAAAATTGAGATTTAATGCTGTCGAAGAAACGAAGAAAATGACACTTATTTGAAGAGAATAATTAAAAGAACACAGAAAATGCTACATGATGCTTTTAGAAAATATTTCCTTTTACATTTTCAGCATCGGAAGATAGTTTTTTCTGTAAAAAGAAAACGTTATCTCTGATAGGTGAAGCTAACATTTAATCTCGTAGATTAATAGAATAAATTACTTCTCTTGCTCAAAAGAAACCTATAAATAACATTTGCTACGTGTTATATTTGGCCTTGATGCTAATGACATTTTTTTTCTCATGTATAGTTTCTGGCATATTCATATTAGTGGAACAGTAGCATATTGCTCAAAGACCTGTCTGTTTAACATGTTCTTCACATACAGAATTCGTTTTCTTTGAAAGATTAAGAAGCAAATAATGCTCTCTGAATGAGAAACTATATTGCAGCCTGCTATTTTGCTTTTGACAACAATGCATCTTCTCTTCTAAAATTAAATGCATACTTAAATTCGTCATGATCAAATCATTGTAGTTTTGTTTTTGAAACTTAAATTTACTTCTTGATATTTTTGAGCAACAATTATACGGTAATTATTCAAAATAATTTATTCAAGCAAAAATTTTTGAAGAGAAAGTTTATTCTAAAGGCTTAAAATCTGAAAAAGTAAATGTCTGACCATATAGTTAAGCAATCGAGAGTTATTCATAAGCGTGTGATACAAGATCTTAGGTTAAATTATCGATGAATACTTTGCTTCATCTTGTAATGTTACGTAATTACGTTACTCCAAGATTAAGCTGAAACCATGTTTCTCCGACTGTATTTTGCTTTATACGTGCTATAAAGGAGCAGTTTACATTGATCAGAATAGAATATACGGGATTGAAGTTAGAATCAATTTTGCCGAAGTTAGAAAACATATGAGAAATAACTATATTTAAGGTCTTACTCATATATCGTTTAATTATCTCCTACTAGACATGTGCAACACAGTGAAAATAATTTGGTAGTGATGAAACAGACTGACCGTGTCTATTACAGTCAATGATGGAAGTAATGAAACAACCAGGTCAAATTTTTACTTCTCATTGACCTCCTTAATTGTGACAGATATGCCAAAAAAGTAAACTTTATTATTAGAAGTGCTGCGAGAATGGTCAAAGTCATGAACATTAGGCATATTTCGGATAAAATTAGTTTCAGAAGATTTAAGCTTCTTAATTAGTATTTTAAATCTACACTGTCCATTTAGATAGAATAATTGTTGTAAAATACACACAATGAAACTTTCTACAATTAGCATGATTGATTTCGATTAAACTATTTCTTTTTAAGTTTATACAACGGACAAACAGAAGACAGAAATCTTGAAATTTGTTTTGTTTACATCGTAATTATGAATATTACCAAATCAAATAAAACTCCATTGTTCTAATGATCAGTTTTTGTAATTTCGTAGAAACAAAACACGTCTATTCATTGTTTGCATTTTTAAGATTGTATGTAATAAACATAGACATTGTTGCAAAATGGATCCTTGGAAAGCATCGGTTTTGAGTTATAAATATCAGAAATGTAGTGGACTGAAATCCAGGAGTATCATATTTTTACTATTGTTGTCAGTAAGCGGTAAATGATCAGAAGTTTGGATGTAATCGGAAGTATGTCAAATTCGTTAATTCATTGATGCTTGTTTAGATTATGCATGCTCTATCGAACTATAGTTCGTAATTAAATTTATCAATTGAAAAGAAAAAATTCTATTTTCTAGCTCAAAGGTTTATTTTTCATCTCAAACGCTCCTGAAAATTGAGTGAAATCGAACTATAGTTCGTAATTACTTTTACCAATTGAAAAAATCTACTTTCTATGTCAAAGGTTTATTTTGCATGTCAAACGTTCGTGAGAATGTATTTAAAAACTTTCTAGTTTCTTTTTACTTGTGCTCAATAGTCTATTTTTCATTCCTAATATTTCTAAAATGATTTCTTAAGAAGTATGTTAAATCGTAAGCTTTAAGAGACTCTTAATTTCAGTAAATGGTATCCGACCGTTGCATTCAATATTTTTTCAATTTTAACTCGATTATTACGAATTTTGCTTTCTTCGTCATTATTATCTTCTCTTCGATATTATCAAGTTTACATCATCTTTGTTGGTCCGCTAGTATTTTCTTTGTTTTCAGTTGCTGCACTAGTGACAAAAATAACTCTTTTAACAAAGATGGGACAATGCTCAATGCATACATGATAATTAATTTGTTTTGCCAAAAATAAATCTCGGTTGATAAGTTTATTTTTTCATTTACGATTATATTAAGCTGCGCAAATTACGACAATGACGTCAGCTAATTTATGATAATGATGCCTTTTCTCAACTGTGTAAAAAAAAAAGAGAACTTTCAATAGCAAATTTGAAAGTTTCACAGACACGGATATCCAGTATAGTTAGTATACACCAATAATTATTTATGTTATTCTCTCATTCTGCACTCATCACACTGTATTTGGTTAAATGTTCAATTAAACTATGTGCTCTGTAACTCGGTTGAAACAGATAAAATCGATGAAAACATAGCGTGTAGAACGACATACGAAAAAAACAATCATTGCATTTTCAAGTATATATGAATGACTTCAAAGTTGAGTTTAATATCAAGAACGTAATGATAAAATTGCTGACGTATGACCTACTGAAAGT